ACCTCCATTGGATGACCCATAAGGCTGCCATGCACACGAATGGTACTCGGACTCTGTTGACCTAATAACACATGTAGGTTGATGGCAACCAATTCATGTTCATCTGGCGGCATGGGATTAGCCAGCAATTCCAGGGAGGCCTCGTCCTCCGTAGCATCATCACCCATAAGCAAGAAAAATTTGGCCTTACAACGATGGCCTCGATGGAACCTCTCATCACAGGTGATGCAAAGGCCATGGTCTTGGCACTTTTGCATTTGGGCCGCCGTGAGCTGTTTGATAGGAAGGGAACTTAGCATCAATGTAACAGAGGTGTCAGACAGTGGAACGAAAATTGGCGTAAGTAAAAGGGGTGGTAGAGTCGAGCTAGACCTTGAACCCAAGCGATTGGCCGCCCAAGGATGCGAAACAGGCGAACGAAGGTGTTGTTGCAATTCACGGAATTTGTCTTCCTATAGTTTTGCAAGGCCAAAGGCTTGTAAGAGTTTCGAAGGTCGAGATGAGCGGACCTCATGCTGTATTTCTAGTTTTAAGCCTGAAATAAAACAACTCAAAAGACAAGGATAGAGAGGCCAGAAACCTTATTCAAAAGTTCCTCAAAGGAAGACTGATAATCTGTGATTGAACCACGCTGGGTGAGCTTGAATAATTGGCTAGTAAAATCGACAAACTCAAAAAGGCCAAAGTGAACTTGGAGGGCTTACAAGAACTGACACCAAAAAGTAAACTGATCATTATCATTCATCCAACGATACCACGATAGGGCTGGTCCTTCCATGTGAAACGAAGAAATTGAGAGCCGCTGATCATCCGAAGTTGAATGATATTTAAAGAAGCGCTCCGCTTTGAAGATCCAGGCCTTCGGACTCCAAACAGAAGGGCTTAAACAAAGAGATAGAACCAGCAAAATCTTCGACACCCAGAAAACCCATACCAATGTAATCTCCACCTCCCACGGAACCATTGCCAGTAGCCGTGGATGTATCTACATGTGTTTGTGGATTTTGTTGTTGTTGCGCAAACTAAGAAGTGAGAACCGAGTCATCATGAAGTTTTCAAACAAATCCAATTTGGCTACCAAGGGAGCCTGCTGATTCGAAAGTTGGCTAACAGTATCATCCAAAGAACGAAGTTTGGGATTGTCAGCTATGGAAGGGAATGAAAGCACCAATGATAGAGGGAAGATAGATTCTGTTTATATGAGGAACAAGACCTCCAAAGAACAAAGGTTGAAGAATTTGGATTATCAATTTTCTTATTTTCAAACGTAAAGTTTTTAGGCTTTATATAGCCTGAGAACTTAACTCTTTCCTACTAACAAAAAGACTCTTACATAATGATAAAACCTAATTCTTTATTGACTACAATTCCTAATACTATTCTATATTGAATAAAATACTAATAAGCTGAATAAAATATAAAATATTAGGGTGCGTTTGGTTTATTATTTTGGATAGGATTTTGGGAATAATATTGGGTAGTTGAATAAGAGAATATTACGAGGTAAAATTTAAAAATTTCTAAAAACCCCCTAGGTTTGCTAATTTAACTAAACACCCCAATATATAAAAATGTTGTAAAATGACAAAAACACTCCCACCACTCACAGTCTGGCTGGAAAATTGCATTACGACACAGACCGATCGGATCTGTGTCGTAACGCGTTGATATGGCCTTTTTCGTCTAGATCCACCACGGATCTGGCCGGAAAAGGCCAGATGTGGCCGTCGACGGCTGCAAAAGTCCAAAGATATGGTCGTCGTTGTGGGTCAATGATGGCCGTCGTTGACCGTCAATGATGGCCGTCGTTGACCGTCAATGACGGCCATTTCTTTGGTAGTCGCTGACGGCTAGATCTAGTCTTTTCCGGTCAGATCCACAGTGGATCTAGCCGAAAAAGGCCAAATCGGTGAATTATCGGCCTTTTTCGGTAGTGGTGTAGGCCGTTGTAACATGTTCCGACTACCACCGATGGTGGTTGCCAGAATCTGGCAAGTATGGTTTTAGGGGGTGTTTTTGTTACTTTTTAAACTTTTTTTTTGGGTATTTAATGAAATTAATAAACTTAAGGGGTCTAAAAGTAATTTAAAAAATACAATAATATTTCTCAAATAATGTGTCAAACAATATTTGGGGAATAGGATTGGGAATATGGATAATAATATGGAACCAAACGAATATTCTAATTACAATCATTTGCCCATGCAGGTTGTCTCTTTAAACGCATAGACCTAATGACACTTCGATCATGATCATGCAAGTTCCTATCAGAAATGGTAGCCAAGTAATTTCAATAAATACAGCCATTAATAATTTAGGCTGTAATTATATTAAAACTTAAATAAAATAATTATAATATGAAGAGAAAATACGGCACTTGTATGAGGGTGGGAGAGTGAGGAAGACGGTCAGAATTTTTTCACGTAATTCGGTATCTAAACTTCGATGGCTATATCTTTTCCGGAGGAAGAAAGTGTTCTTAGCAATCCTCTTATTGAAATTTGTAATAAATATGTTAATTTAAAATTTTCATTCCATGTAGGAAATCACTGGTAATGGCATTTCGCCCCAATTCATTGGGGTTGGGTTCAACCTACCGCCATTAAGGATTTGGGTTAAGTTTGAGTAAGCCCATTGGATTTGCAATAGGTATGAGGTGGGTTTGGGTAACCCACATACCTACTAACTTAATTTTTTTAATCAATTAATATAATTATTTTTATTAAAATTTACAAAAACATTCCTTAGCTTCTTGTATATGAAACCACGTACCGATCTTAGCCCAAAAGTACGATTTTTAACTGCAAAAGGCGGTTAAAGTCTTCCTACAACAAATGTAGATGTCATTTGTCGATGATAGTTTTTATGGTTAGATAAAGAATTAATGAGTGGTGTTGCCAAACTCGCTACGACGACGATGACTAGCGACATTCAACCAAATTTTATACTACCTCCTGCGGCTAAAATATACATCTTTTTTCTGCTAAGTGTTTGATAGTTGAGTAGATTTACATATAATTTGCATGCAAATGGTGTCGGAGATGGTGGTCGACAGGGCAACAACTGTTGTGGACTTTTTTATTATTTTATTAAATCATTAATTTAAATATTAAATATATTTATAAAATAATTTATAGATAAATTGTAAATACTATGTACACTATATGTTAAAAATATTTATATTACAAAAAATAAGAATGGGTAACCCATTGCCCCACAAACTTATTTCAATTTAATCCATTTCCGAACTTTAGATAATGGAATTCTACCACGTGAATGATTTGTCTAAAACGGATTTATTCAAACTAAAAGATAAATATTGTTGTATGTGATTTTTCTATTAAACTCGGAGAAGTCAGAGTTCCGCGAGGTTATAGTTCGGTTTAGAATCAGTTCGATTCAACACTTGTCTGACCCAATATAAACTCGTCCAAATATAGCTCGACTTAGCATCAGCTAGTCGCGACCAATTCTAATAGTTGTTTAAGTAGATCACAAATAAGCTCGAATTCCGGATATTTTAGAAAAAATCAGACAACAGCAATAATGATGCGATCTTAGAGCTCAATCGCGATAATATCAGAGTTGCATTGCAATTTTAATTGTAATTCTTTTAATTTCGCTCTTTCCTTTGTAAAAAAACTTGTATATAACCCCCCTCCAATAATGGAGAGGGGATTAACAAATTATTCTAAACACTATATTATTTTCTTATAAGCTATCTAAGTAAAAAAGAGAAACAGGCTCAAGATTTAAACTTGCCTAACCACTTTAAAAACTTTCTGTGTTCTTTACATTACTGTTTTTATATTCATTACATTGATGGTTATCTTTAATCATGCACACATCCGTTCTGTTTCCACCAAGGTCAATCGAATCACTCAAGTTAGTGTAATTCTTACATCAAAACATATTAATCCTGTAATTATTCAAAGAAGATTTATTATCATTACAAAGGGCGGATGGGTTCTACCGATGTGGCCGTCCGAAGCTTAAGTTTATAGTTTTGAAATTAGTAGGTGTTCATTGGAATATCACAAAACGTATGGGGTTAAATACTCCTTTAATTAACGCATGATTTCTATATGATATATTGGTATGATATGATATTTCTTAAATTTAACGAATAAATTATTCAACTTTTTACTTTGACTTTGAATGTCCAACTAACAACATTAGATATGTAACTGAATTTTTTTTTACTTTGAATTTTCTGGTCTACGTAACTAACATTGTCTCCAAACGTGGTTTAGATTATTTGTTATGCAGCCATGACGACAATTTTTTTTTAATCGACAACTTTCTCACCTAAAAAACTGTCTTAATCATGTAATAAAAAATCCAAACTCAATCTATGTTATATCACCTGGATATTACAAAACTAAATCTATGTGAACCGAATAGAAAGATCTGTGTAATTATTTTCTTAATTAATTAATGTAGCGTTCAGTGTTATTAAGTAAATTTTAAAGTTGGAAAATAAGTTGAAGGCCTTTCCATAAACAAAATCTTCATACATACTTATCAAATAAATATCGGGTAATGTTCCCCTGCAGTAAAAAAAAAAAAATAGTTCTAATCATGTAGAGACAGAATATTTTATGAACTCTCGGGAAATGATAGACTATCTATACACAGTAATGGGAAAGTTAGATGCAATATTTTTACAAGTAGAAACTAGGTTTCAAGTGCCTAAATCACTCCAATTTGAATGTAAGCACTAAGCATTATTGGTGTACCAAAATTTCAAGTTTCAACTTTGAAGGGCAGTTGAACAAACAAATATTTAACACATGTCGTCTTCGGGTTACAGGCAATCGAGAAAAAGGGACATAAATCAAAATCAAAATCTCCAAAATACAACCAGTTGGTCATAAAATGAATGTATCCTATATTTGAAGAAAGCTGACGCATGGTTCTTGCATCCAGGAAACGTTTCTTCTTCATTTAAACACATTTATATTTTGGGGCTCCTTAATTTGCTCTGGCAACTTGCCGGGTAAGACATGAAAAACTCTTTCTGGGTATGCTTTGTTCTACTGATTTTCTCTTCCGGATGTGTAGCTCAATCGATTGTAGAGTCACTACCTGGCTATCCCGGAAAGCTTCCATTCAAACTAGAAACAGGGTGAGTTGTGTATTTATTTGTTTATTTATTTCTTCTTCTAGTTAATTTAGAAAATTAATGAGTGAGAAATGGGTTGTATTCAGATATGTGAGTGTGGGAGAATTGGATGAAGTGCAGTTGTTTTATTACTTTATCGAGTCGGAAAGAAACCCAGTGAGGGATCCTTTGCTACTATGGCTTACTGGAGGCCCTGGTTGTTCTGGTTTCTCCGGTCTTGCATTTGAAGTGGGTATGTTCTTCATCCAATTCTTTTTAGTTTTATCATGAAACAACATATTATAAATCATGAGTTTGAATTACATAAATTTCAAAGAATAATATCAATTATTTAATGTACATTTTAATTCTTTATATCAAAGGTTTAAGTGAATTGTTGTTGTTGGTAATGTTGAAACGTTGACAGAGGACAGGAGTTGAGGATCTAATTTGGTAGTTTAAAGAGTTCTAGTTAGAGAGTGGGTGGTTTCAATATTTGATTGAATATAAATTAGGTGGGCCGTGGGAGAGTACATCAAAGATTTCTCGTACGACATGATTGGGAGTCTCCATTTCATTTACCACCCTTTTCGGGCCATTGGCAGTTGCTACCACAAACATAACTTCATCTATAATTCTTTCAAAAACTTTATTAAAAATGAAAAAGATTACAAAATATTCAAAAACAATCAATTAAAAATATTTGTTTATTTATGTATAAGACTAAAAGGGTAATTTTGGAGGATTTAACAAATATTTTAAAAGTATTTGGCTCCGTTTTGCACATTATTTCTACCCATATTCTTAATCTTATTCCCAAAATATTATTTGTTTTGTTATTTGAGAAATATTATATATTTTTTAATTAATTTTAGACCCTTTAAGTTTATTAATTTCATAAATACCCCTAAAAAGTTTAAAAATTAAAAAAACACCCTCACCCACCCATACTTGCCAGATTCCGGCAACCACCATCAATGGTAGCCGGAATCTGTCACAACGGCCTACAAACGATCAGAATTTGCCGCTAATTCACTGATATGGCCTTTTTCGGCCAAATCCATAGTAAATCTGGCAAAAAAAAGCCAGATATGGCCGTCATTGACGGTCAACAACGGCCAAATCTTGGCCATCATTGACCGAAAATGACTACCATATCTTTAGCCGTAGATCTGGCCTTTTCCAACCAGATCTGTGGTAGATCTGGCCAGAAAAGGCCATATCGACGCCCTACTCATCAAATCTGACCGGTCTGCATCGTAACATTCCGGCGGTGGTGGCCGGAATCTGGCACTATGGGTGGGTAGGGGTATTTTTGTCATTTTACAAAAAATTTATATATTGAGGTGTTTAGTTAAATTAGCAAACCTAGAGGGGTTTTTTGTAAATTTTTAAATTTTACCTTGTAATACTCCCCTATTCAACTACCCAATATTATTCCCAAAATCCTATCCAAAATAATAAAACAAACGGACCCTTTATAATTCTAAAAGTAAATTTACATAAAAATACTAATGAAAATATTAAAAGTGAAAAAAAAATCCAGAAACCCCCTTGTTTGTTTAACTTTTCAAACTCTATTCTATTCTACTATCCTATCCTAAACAATGAAAAACGTGTTTACTTTAATATTGACTAGGGGTGTTCAAAAGAACTGATTGGAACTGGAACCAGTGGGTACCCAGGGTTTGATTCTGGTTCCTACCCGAAACCGGCCGTCAACGGGTACGTTCCGGTTCTAAATTTTTGGAACCGTTACTGTGTGGTTCCAAAACCAGAACTAGGAATCAAGACTAATATAAAATAAAATTAAAAAGTAGGGGGGTTAATAAAAACTTTTGTAGAAAAAGTAATGTGAATACATTTATATTTATATTTCATAACATTTAAAGTAAGTTAGTTTGACTTTTAAGAATCTACCTTTACAAAGTAATGGAGTTGGTAATTTTGAATTTATAATTTGTAATTTTATTTTTGTTAACAAGTGCCAGGTGGGAGGGTATTTGTGAGTTTTTAAGAATTTTTTTTTCATTTTAAAAACTTTTGGGGGGGAATTGTAATTTTATCGGGTACCCAGGATCGGAACCAGAACCGTTGTTACAGGTTTCGGTTCTGGGTATCTAGGAACCAGAACCGTCGGCTCCGGTTCCAGTTCCAAATTTCAAGGAACTGTCGATTCCGGTTCCTTCAAAAAGTGCAGGGTACCCAGAACCGAACACCCCTAATATTGACTATTCAATTCAAAATTCAATCATATTCTATTCAACTCAAAACATTTAACAATTACCTTTCACAATAAAAGTTTATAAATTAACAAAAACACCCCGACCCACCCAAGACATCATCACCAGCTAGCAACTACTGCTAGCCGTCACCGGAATGATGCACGATCGGTTGGATTTGGCATATTGTGCGTCGATTTGGCCATTTCAACCAGATCCACCTTGGATCTAGCCGTTGACGATGACCATATCTTGGCTGTCGTTGACGGGTAGATTTTGGCCATTAACGACGTCTGGAAATCTAGTCGTCAACGACGGCCAGATTTTGGTCGTAGATCTGGACATTTCCTACTAGATACACAACGGATCTGGCCAAAAAATACAAGATTAGCTCACGACCAACTAGATCCAGCTGATCGTGCATCATTCCAGTGGTGGTGGCTGACAGACGGTTGGGTGGGTGGGGGTGTTTTTGTTAATTTATAAACTTTTATTATGAGAGTGTTTAGCTAAATTAACAAATATAGGGGGTTAAAAAAATCTAAACATTTTCAGAAAATGTTTTTTAATAATGTACAAAACACACTCTCATAACCATATCTATCCTATTTAGAATATGATATCAGAAATCATATTCAAAAAAGTATACCAAACAAGCCCTGGTTGTCAACCTCAACATATCACCAACAATACATAAAGAAATTTAGAAGACAATTTATTCATCAGCATTGGCACTAGTGACAATGTCGATAATTGTGAAGATTCACTTCAACATCTTTCTTTCCCTCCTTGCAAATCAATTGTTTCCAATGCTAGAGGTTTTAAAAAAAAAAAAAAAAACAAAAAAAAAACAAAAAAAAAAAAAAAACACTTAGAAAAAATTTATATTTTGTATTTATAACTCTAAAATAGGTAATTAAATTTTATTTTTTGTATTTTATGAATAATTAAAAAAATCAATAGACTCAATATTTGCATCTTCATGGAGATGATTGAGATAAAATTCAATTGTGTTTGTCTGTTGACAATGCTCAATATAAATCTACATTTTGATGGAGTCATATATCAATATTTTACATGACAGTGAGATATTTTAATTGAATTTGGTTTAGTGCCGAACTCAAATAGTATTAGTGTAATTAAATTTCAGTCATATAATGTTGTTCGTTGAGAGTAACCGATTATATGATATCAGGCTTGAGGGTCCAAATTTAGCGTATCATGATTGCCTGATATGGCCCAAAATATGTCGTCTTGAAAAAGAAAATTAAATATTTCTTGACTGTAATTTAATATATTTTTGTTTGTTCATGATATTGTCTCACCATTAACATAGTATATGTCTGTGTGCTGCCATGCCTATGATGTATAAAGATAGCTTGGAGAATGCAATCTTCCAAATAGTAAAATTCTAAGCTATTAATTGGGTAATTAAGCAGTTATAATTGTTTTTTTTTTTTTTTTTTTTTTTTTTTTTTTTTTTTTTTTGTGAATATACATAGGTCCACTACTTTATGATTATAAGGCTTTCAATGGGAGCTTGCCATCATTTGTGATAATCAATACTCTGGACTCAGGTAATTCTCATTAAATTATTCTCTCTTTATATGGAAATTGTGAAACTCGTTTCTTTGGCTAAGGCAAAGTGGGGGTAATTTTGCAGATTGCAACATGATATTTCTGGATGCACCGGTGGGCACCGGCTTCTCCTACTCCACAACCCAGAAAGGATGGCATTCCTCTGACACACTTTCAACCAAAGCAATCTACGAATTTCTAAGGAAGGTGAGGACACACACCCTGAAACAATGTAAATGCCTTAAATATTTCCTACTTAGATAATTTTTACAAAAGAATATTTTCTATGTTGATGCAGTGGATCCTGGAACATCCCAGATTTAGCAGAATCCTCTTTACATAACCGGTGATTCCTATTCGGCATGATCGTTCCCATGGTCACTTATAATAGCAAAGGGTATGCGTTATCTTTGAAAAGTAATGCTTAAAGTGAAATTTTTGTCAAGTAATACTTAAATTTTAAGGGTTTTTTGTATAGGTAATATGGCTCAAAACATCCAATGTTGAATCTACAGGTACGAGTTTAATTAATTATTCACATCTTTTGGACACCGTTATCAGCTTTAATTTGGATACTTGTTGGTTATATTTGAAATAGGGTTACACGCTTGGCAACCCAGTAACAGATTTACACAATGATGAGAATTCAAGAGTTCAATATTTTTACCGCGTTGGACTTATATCAACTGAACTTTATGAGGTAATGAAAATTACCCACTATTTTTCACCCTTTAGCAATTGTACTTCATTTAATCCCATTTATTATTTGTTCACTTCAGTCAGTCAAACGGAGTTGTCAGGGGGAATATATTTCACCAAATATTCAAGACCCCCAATGCTTTAACGATATTGCACAAATAGCAATGGTAAGAGAAAGAAGAGCAAATATTTGTATTCATATCTTTTGACTATAAAGTGTACTCATGTTTATATTTGTAATTAATTAATTACAGTGCACTATAAAAGTAAACGACGCACAGATTTTGGAACCTAAGTGCAGTTTTGCATCTCCAAAGCCTCAGGGTCTTCATTGGGGACGCAAATTTTTCGACGATCTTCCCATTGATATAGCCTTTGCTTCAAGTAAACTTGAAGAAAATTGGTGTAGGGTAAACAATTTATTAATCCCTCGATCTTGTTCTCTCTTTTTAAACCTTAACCTGAATGGATGAATAGTTGACTATTATTTCTTACAGAATTCCAACTATGTGCTCTCATATATCTGGGCGAACGATCAATCTGTGCAACTAGCTCTTCACGTCAGAAACGTATGTAATTCAAATATCTAAATTCAAAGCGTGGAAAGGTAGGCTGAATTTTTTAATGTTGTTTCTCTTTTATGCTGCAATCAGGTAACTATAATTGATTGGAAGAGATGCAACAAAACGTTGGATTATGATAGTGATATCTTGAGCACGGTGTATTATCACAGAACACTAATGGCAATGGGCTATCGAGCTTTGATATACAGGTGTTTGACAGTATTTTTAGTTCTCAAAGATTTAATCTTGTTATTATTTGTGGCTTAATTTCAAACTTTCTATTGCAGTGGTGATCATGACATGATGATTCCATACACGGGTACACTTTCTTGGATCAAAACTCTCAATTTGAGTACCATTGATGGTTGGAGACCATGGTTCGTTGAGGGTCAAATTGCTGGGTTCGTCTCTAAATTTTCCTTTCTTTTTTATTTTTTATTTTATTTCAATTGACTCTCTCAGTTTTCCTTTTGTTTTACTTCATAGATTCACAATGAAGCTTTCCGAAGCTGCTACTATTGGAGACGGTTTGGTTTTTGCAACTGTTAAGGTAACGTTGAGTCTAATTTTGTCTGGAATAATATTTACATAAACAAACTAATAATAAATGAAAGTTAAAAAAGAGTTAATAAATTTAAATGACGGGAGAAAATTATAAAATAGAGCTCAATTTTTATATAATTGGATTGAGATTAATATTTATTTTGTTTAATTTAAACAGGGAGGAGGTCACACAGCTCCAGAGTATAAGCCTAAGGAATGTCTTCAAATGGTTGATAGGTGGTTATCTTATTACTTTCTGTAGCAATAGCTCCATCATTTTTCAAATATTGCAGTAATGGAGGTTGTTTTAGAGAGAATCTAATTATATTTCGTGAGGCATTTCTCACAAAATTATTCATATGGCTTCGTAACTATGTATTGTAAACATTACAATAATTTTATAATTATTGTAACTCTTGTGGAAGTACTAGATTACAGAGTAAATGGTGAGTAAATTTTAGCAATATCTTTTTCTAGAAAAATAAACTAAGTCAATTAAGCTTGTACTTCAGTCTATAAATCAACTAGACATGGGCCCGTGCGGTACCCAGATATGTTTATTCAACATTTTTAAATTATAAACAAATTTATTCTAACAAAATAAGCTAATTAAATTAAGACATAATAATTATTAAATTATACAAATTTTAAAGTAAATATAAATTGTATATATATACAAAGTTATAAAATAAAATTAATAATTGTACCTGTATAATTATTAATATCAATTATACGTAGATATCATTAAATCATTCATCCAACTTGATAAGATTACCTGAATATTATATGGTTTAATTGTATTTTCAGAATTATCACCTTGTACAATTGATATTATTTTTGTAGACATGTCATTGATATTCGATGTAAGTATTTTATCGTAAATCATATATGATATTTAATATCACTTGAATATTATCAAGATCAACTATTTAAGCTTAAAATTTATACTAACCTTCCACAATTTCTGTAACATATATTCATTTTCAAGTTGCATTGCGCGTGTATGTTTATTATATTTTTTTTTTACATTATTATTGGTTCTTTTTTGTTTTAAATATATATTTTTTTATATTAAAGTTCATTTTATATTGAATTGATAATTAAAAAATCAATAAATAAAATATCCACAAATTGAACTCAAAATATATATCATCATGGTTCTTCGCAAATATGTCACCATTTGACATTTGTAACAAAAGTTTAAAACTTTGTCAAGAAAAGCAAAAAAAAAATTGTAGGATAACCTATTGAATATTATTGATAAGTCTACAAATCAATCAGAGAAAGAAAAACCTTGTTGAAAAATGTGAACTTTTAAGCAAGAGACTTGCAAAGCCAAAGGAAAAAACTGATTTTGATCATTGACAAGAGAAAAAGAATTATTTTTATTTTTATTATTTTAGAAATAAAAAAAAAATTAAGAATGTTGAGAAGAGAACTCACATAGAAAGCAACAACAACTCCAACAGTATAATATGAAGGCAACTTAATTGAAGCATTAAAGAAGCCATGAAGACAAAGGTCATGTGACACAAATCCGTTTGCTGCAATTAGAATTAACCACAACCTGTAGCAAAAAAAACATTTGATGATAGCATCCTAAAGAAAGACGATAATTGTAAAATCCACAAATCAAACAACAAAATCAATCCAAAAATCAACAAAAAGAAATAGAACAAATACAATTAAAACTACATATCAATATTTGTTTTCCTTTGTCATCACTAAAATTGAATTTATTTTATGTGTGTGATGATAAAATGAATAGTTTGGCAATAGGTCTATAGTTATCCAAATTCATCGTATAATATATCAAATTAAAGCCCTATCTTTCTAGTTTCCAAATATTCAAATCGCTCATCAATTAGATTTTTATTGAGCAAGTTATGAATGGCTGTCAGTATCCTATGATACGCGATACGTATCTTATGATACGATTCGATACAGGTCGCCAACAATACGTATCAGAGAGTATATCCTAAACCTTTCGATACGTTGATATGTATCCTACGATACGATACATATCCGTTTGTATCCTTAAAAATATCGATACAAATCGATACAATTTTATTAATTTGGGTCAAAGGTCCAAAAAAGTTTTTAGGTCGAATCTAGGTCACCGAACCTGGTTCACTAAAACCTACCCAAATTTACCCATTTTGCATGGAGAAAGTGAAAAGGAAGATGTGTTGCCCATTTTACATGATAATAATAACACAAGTAGAGTTATAGATATTGACATTGATCTTGGAAATGATATGAATGGTTGAGAGAAAATGATATAAATTCTTAATTTTGTGATTAATTTTGATTGTATAATACCACAATTTAAAGCTAATAATATCACAAAATTTGTTAATTAATCATGGGGATGATATTAATTTTTAGAAAAATTATATTATTTTATTAATTTTTTTGAAAAAGGCGTATCCTGCAATACGATACGGTACGCTATACACGATTGAAAAAATTAGGTTTTCGATACACGATACGATACACGATTTGACAACTATGGTTATGACTAATTTACTACTGACTCTTCAGTGAAAATCAAACAACAGAGGAAACCAAAATGTGTGTGATGATAAAAGGAATGGTTCGATAGTGGGGCTACGGTTATCCAAATTAAACATATAATATATCAAATTAAAGCCTTGTCGATCTAGTTTCTAAAGATTCAAACTTCTCAAGTTCTCATCAATTGGATTTTTATCAAGCAAGTTATAGTTAATTTACTACTGACTATTCAGTAGAAACCGAAATGTGTGTGATGATAAAAAAAAATGGTTTGGAAGTGGAGCTACAGTTATACAAATTAAAGTCATATATGTATAGTTTCTAAAGATTCAAACCTCTCATCAATTGGATTTTTATTGAGAAAATTATGGTTAATTTACTACTGATTGTTCAGTGGAAACCGAAATGTGTGTGATGATAAAAGGAATTGTTCGACAGTGGGGCTAAAGTTATTCAAATTAAGTGTATAATATATTAAATTAAAGCTCTATCTGTCTAGTTTCTAAATATTCAAACCTTTCATCATTTGAAGTTTTATTCAGCAATTTATGATCAATTTACTACTGATTATTTAGTATAAACCTAAATGTGTGTGATAATAAAATGAATATTTTACTAAAGCTACATCGTTTAGCATCAAACATCAGTTGATATTTGTTAAATAAATGAAATTAGTATTATTCAGCAATAACCTCTTTTCATGATATATGTATGTAACATAAAAAGATATCAACAAAAAGAGATAGAACAATTACAATTAAAACTACATATTAATATTTGTTTTCCTTTAAGGATAATAATCATGGTTCGGCATAGTACAAATGGTTTACTAAAGCTAAATGGTTTGGCAACAAACATCAGATGATATTTGAGATACAAATAAAATTGGTTGTATTCAGCAACAACCTTTTTTCGATATATGTATGTAACATAAAAAAAAAAAAAAAATATTAACAAAAAGAGATAGAAAAAATATAATTAAAACTACATATCAATATTTGTTTTCTTTTGTCATCACTAAAATTGAATTGGTTTTATGTGTGTGCTGATAAAATGAATGGTTCAGCTGTAGGTCTATAGTTATCCAAATTCATCATATAATATATCAAAATAAAACTCTATCTTTCTAGTTTTCAAAGATTCATACCACTCATCAATTATATTTTTATTAAGTTATGGTTAATTCACTACTAATTGTTCAGTAGAAATCGAGAAACAGGGGAAACTGAAATGTGTGCAAGACAAAAATGAGTGGTTCAAAAGTGGGGCTACATTTATCCAAATTAAGCGTATAATATACCAAATTAAATATCTATCTGTCTAATTTCTAAATATTCAAACATCTCATCAATTAGAGTTTTATTAAGTAAGTTATGGTCAATTTGCTACTGACTGTTCAGTGGAAATCAAAATGTATGTGATGATAAAAGGAATGGTTTGGCAGTGGGGTTACGGTTATCTAAAATAAGTGTATAATATATCAAATTAAATCCCTATCTTTCTAGTTTCCAAATATTCAAACCGCTTATTAATTGGATTTTTATTGAGCAAGTTATGGTTAATTTACTACTAACTATTTAGTAAAAAATTGAGAAACAGGAGAAACCAAATGTGTGTGATGATAAAAGGAATGGTTCGGCATTGGGGCTACAATTATCTAAATTAAATGTATAATATATCAAATAATTAGTGTAATAAATAGCAACTAAATAAACGTTAAACCAATCAGCAGTAAATTGACCATAACTTGCTCAATATTGCTCAATAAATAGCAATTAAATGTATAATATATCAAATAATTAGTGTAATAAATAGCTACATGGTTCGGCAACAAACATAAATAAACTTAGTTATATTCAGCAACAACATATTTTTGGTATATGTATGTAACATAAAAAATATCAACAAAAAGAGATAGAACAAATACATTTAAAACTACATATCGATATTTGTTTTCCTTTGTCATCCCTAAAATTGAATTGGTTTTATTTATGCGATGATAAAAATGAATGGTTCGTAGCAGGTTTATAGCTATCCAAATTCATTGCATAATATATCAAATTAAAGCTCTATCTTTCTAGTTTCCAAAGATTTAAACCGCTCATCAATTAGATTTTAATTGAGTAAGTTATGGTCAATTTACTACTGACTATTCATTTTAAATCAAAAAACTGGGGAAATCGAAATGTATGTGATGATAAAAGGAATGGTTTGGAAGTAGGGCTACATTTATCCAAATTAATCATATAATATATAAAATTAAAGTCTTATCTGTCTAGTTTCTAAAGATTCAAACCTCTCATTAATTGGATTTTTACTGAGCAAGTTACAGTCAATTTATTACTGACTATTTAGTGGAAACCAAAATGTGTGATGATAAAATGAATGGTTTAGCTGTGGGGCTATGGTTATCTAATAAAATTAAATCTCTGTCTGTGTAGTTTCTAAATATTTAAACCTCTCATCAATTGGTTTTTTATTGAGCAAGTTTCGGCCAATTTACTATTGACTGTTCAGTGGAAACTGAAATGTGCATGATGATAAAAGGAATGGTTCGGCAGTAGGGCTATAATTATCAAAATTAAGCATATAATATATCAAATTAAAGCCCTGTTTTTCTAGTTTTCAAAGATTCAAACCGCTCTTCAATTAGATTTTTATTGAGAAAGTTATAGTTAATTTACTACTGACTATTCAGTGAAAATCAAGAAACAGCAGGGTAAACCGAGATGTGTGTGCAAATAA